GCGGCTCCTGGCGACGGTTGTTGTACCCCCCCGCCGTATCCACTGCTGGGCACGGGACGGGCCATTGCTCCACCGGGGACCCCTCTTGGGCCACGCAGAGCTCACAGCCCTGCCCATGCTGCCCCCCCCCGGGCTGGGCATGGGCATGTCGGGAGGGGGGCTTTAAGTGCCGGTGGGTCCTGGTTTCCTGGCACGGGGGGAACACAGTGGTGTCCCCGCAGCTGGGTGCCCTGTGCCCCTCCCCCCGCGCAGCCCCCACTCTGCGGGAGCCACAGCAAAATCGGGGTTCAACCCGGGGGGGCTGCAGCCTGGGGGGGGGGGGGTTGGTTCGATCGCGTCGCCGTGGGGAGGGGGCTGCAGCAGCGCAGCACCGCAATGCGGCAAAACCCGCAGTAAAGGAGCAGGGCGGTGGCGGCGGCGGGAGGAGAGAGAGACCCCGCTGCGGGGGGGTCCCCGCGCTGCCCTCCCCCACAGCAGCCCCGGAGCCCAGCAGGAGATGGGGTGGGGGGGACTCGCGGGGTTCTGGGGGCTCAGGGGCACCCCGACCCCAGGTGGGTGCCAGCAGTGAGGATGTGCGCAGGGAGTGGGGGGGCAGCGGGGAGCCAGGGGATGGGGGGCGTTAGGGAACCTGAGGAGTGGGGGTACATCGGGGGTGCCCAGGCCATGCCGGGACCCTCCCTGGGGTCCCCCGGGACATCGTGACCCTCCCACCCTCAGCCCTACGTGGGAACAGGGTCCCTTGGTGGGGGGGACACCAAGAGGGGCAGCACTCGGGTTCCAGTCCAGTCCAGGGCTGCCGTGTCCCCACGCTGCGGCCGTGGGAACCCAGACAGGGGCCGGGGGGGTCCAACCCCTCCCGCAGGTCCTGCGCTCCCCGAGGGCCTGGCCCCGGGGCCTGGCACGGGAACGCGCGCGGCGCCGGCAGCGGGGGCAGGAGCAGGAGCAGGAGCCGGCGCGGCGGGGGCCCGCGGGGCTTCCCACAGGAACGGCACCGTGATGGGGAAGGGGCGGGGGGGGGAGAACCGGGCACAGGGACCCCCACCCGGGGACCCCAGCACAGGCTGGGCCGCGGCGCTCCCTGCGCGGAGCCCGGGGCTGCGGCGGAGAGGGCTCAGGGACCGCTCCTGCCCCCCCTCAGCCCCGCCCGGCACTAAAGACCCCCCCAAATGACCCCAAGGCCCCCCCAAAACCTCCTCCTCACCAACCCCCGCCCCTCGCCCCGTTTCCCCCCCCCACATTCCACTCCGCCGACGTCACCGTCTACCCAACCCCCGCCGTCTTTCGAACCTGCCAATCAGAATCGAGGCGGTGCGGAGGGGGCGTGGTCAGTCGATGAAGGGGCGTGACGGAGGCGGGAAACCGCGATGCCACGCCCCCTCCCCCCGTCCGCCCGCCCCCCCCTGCTCCGGTATATCACGGGGGGGCCCCACGGGGCGCCCCCCGCCTCCTTCCTCGGTGACTCCGTAGCGGTTCGGGCAGTGAGCGGCCATGGTGAGGGCAGGGGGGTGCGGGACCACCCCGTGTCCACGGTAGCACGTGGAGCTGTGTCCCGGGGGGGTGAGGGGTTCCCGTGTGCCCAGGACACTGTGTAGGGCTGCTGAGCACTTTTATGCTCTAGGGGGGGGCTCCGTGTGACCCTGGAGGGGGGTGTTTGGGGTGGGGGGATCGGGGGTCCCAGCCTTGGGCGCACTGCGTGTCCCGGGCTCCGAGGTAGGACCTGGATGCATTTGCTCCTGGGGAGGGAAACGTGTGCCAGGGAGGTGCTGGGGGGAGCGAGGAAGAATCTGCCGTGGTATCCTGCTGGGAGTAGGGAGAGCTCCTCGTGTGTTGGGCGGGGGGGGAGACGGCAGCGGCTGCGGTGGGGAAACGCTTCCCAGTCCCGGGAGTTTACCGAGAGTTTGCTCTTGCCCCTGGGCCACGCAGTGGGGGGATTCCGGGCTCCCATCCCTGTGGATCAGCGCTGCTGGAAAGAACGGGGATTCCCCTTGGTAATCGAGGAGTGCACCTGAACTGGGGCCGATGGGGACCTCTGAAAAGAGGGCAGTGAAGTTGTCTCTGTCCCTATACAAGCCTAGATAGGGAATGGTGAGGACTGGGAATAACCCTGAGGAATCTCAACCTCTGACTTGGAGCAGCGGGTGCCAATTAACCCAGTCGGAGCTGGGGGGGGTCTGAGCCTGTCTCCGGTGTCCCCGCAGCGCGAGTGCATCTCCATCCACGTTGGCCAAGCGGGCGTGCAGATCGGCAATGCCTGCTGGGAGCTGTACTGCCTGGAGCACGGCATCCAGCCCGACGGGCAGATGCCCAGTGACAAGACCATCGGCGGCGGGGACGACTCCTTCAACACCTTCTTCAGCGAGACGGGTGCCGGCAAGCACGTGCCCCGCGCCGTCTTCGTGGACCTGGAGCCCACGGTGATCGGTGAGTGTGGGCCGGGGCTGGGGGGTGCAGGCTCCACAGGCCACCGGGTGCTAATGGGCTCTCCCCGCAGATGAGGTGCGCACGGGGACGTACCGGCAGCTCTTCCACCCTGAGCAGCTCATCACGGGCAAGGAGGATGCGGCCAACAACTATGCCCGTGGGCACTACACCATTGGGAAGGAGATCATCGACCTGGTCCTCGACCGCATCCGCAAGCTGGTGGGCATCCCATGTGGTGGGTTTATTCCTAGGGTGGAGGAATGGCTGAGGATAAAGGGAAGCCATTGTTCTTGGGGGGGGGTGATCAACGGGTCCTTCTCACCTCATCAGCACTTTGGGACAGGAGGTGGAGCTGCCCTGAGGTATGTGGGACTGGTCTGGCCTGTCTCTGGTGCCCACATGCGATGCATCTCCTGAGCCCAGCTATGGGAGGAGGATGAGAAGCCCCATGCCCGGGGCAACGGGGGACTTGCAGCCCCAGTTTGGCTGCTGGTGCAGCACTGGTTGGACTGGTGCGGCTACTTGAGCTCTTTGAACCTGCAGTTCCCACGCTGGGGCTGGCGCCGGGGCTCGCTGGACCTGCAGTGCCACTGGCTTCGCTCCGGGAGCTCCAGGCACATCAAAGCCACAGCTTTGCCACCCATGGGCCTGTGTGGGCCGGCTGGCTCCTGCTTCACCCATCCTGGGGAGCACGCGGCTCCAAAGCCATGGCTGACCCACTCTGGACCCCCGCTGGGGGCTCTCCCAACAGGCTGACCAGTGCACAGGGCTGCAGGGCTTCCTGGTCTTCCACAGCTTCGGGGGTGGCACCGGCTCCGGCTTCACCTCCTTGCTCATGGAACGCCTCTCTGTCGACTATGGCAAGAAGTCCAAGCTGGAGTTCTCCATCTACCCAGCCCCGCAGGTCTCCACAGCCGTGGTGGAGCCCTACAACTCCATCCTCACCACCCACACCACCCTGGAGCACTCTGACTGTGCTTTCATGGTGGACAACGAGGCCATCTACGACATCTGCCGCCGCAACCTGGACATCGAGAGGCCCACCTACACCAACCTCAACCGCCTCATCAGCCAGATTGTGTCCTCCATCACTGCCTCCCTGCGCTTCGATGGGGCCCTGAATGTCGACCTGACAGAGTTCCAGACCAACCTGGTGCCGTACCCCCGCATCCACTTCCCTCTGGCCACCTATGCCCCTGTCATCTCAGCTGAGAAAGCTTACCATGAGCAACTCACTGTGGCTGAGATCACCAACGCCTGCTTCGAGCCAGCCAACCAGATGGTGAAGTGTGACCCACGGCACGGCAAGTACATGGCGTGCTGCCTGCTGTACCGTGGGGACGTGGTGCCCAAGGATGTCAACGCCGCCATCGCCACCATCAAGACCAAGCGCACCATCCAGTTCGTGGACTGGTGCCCCACTGGCTTCAAGGTGGGCATCAACTACCAGCCCCCGACGGTGGTGCCTGGCGGGGACCTGGCCAAGGTGCAGCGCGCAGTGTGCATGCTGAGCAACACCACGGCCATCGCCGAGGCCTGGGCCCGCCTGGACCACAAGTTCGACCTGATGTACGCCAAGAGAGCCTTTGTGCACTGGTACGTGGGGGAGGGCATGGAGGAGGGTGAGTTCTCAGAGGCCCGGGAGGACATGGCTGCACTGGAGAAGGATTATGAGGAGGTGGGGGCTGACAGTGTGGAAGGGGAGGAGGATGGGGAGGAATATTAGTGCCTTTGGCTCTTGTGCCCGTGACACTGTGATGCTCATCATTAAAGATGCTGTTTCCACTCTTGCCTTGTTCATTGTCGTTGGGAGTGACCAGGGAGGGAGGATGTTCGGGGGGGGGGGGGGGGATCCGGGCTGGTGGGGGTGGTTTTGTGTCATGGGTGTACCTTGGCTGAGTTCTGTGCCATCGGCTGGCTGTGCCCTGTCTGGCTGTTTGCACCTGAGAGGGGTTCATGTCTCCCTGTCTGTGCTAGTGTCCTTGTCACAGAGTAGGTCATCCGGTGGGGTGCAGACCCCTGGATCACTCCCTGCTTTGGGCTCTGTAGCGCAGCCAGTGTCCAGCTCAGTGCAGGCGCCCTGCTCTCTACGTGGCGTCTGGCTGCTCTCCTGTGCAGTGCTGGGCAGGGCATTGACCCCTTCCCGTAAGTGCTGCCTGTGGAGGGAAGGCTTGGGGGGGGGGGGCAGCTTCTGAATAGCCGAGTCATGGCTTCCCGTTCAGAAGTGGGGGACACGTCAGGGGTCCCACTCCCAATGCTGGGGAGGGACACGGCCTGCTCCATAGCGCAGGATGGGACCCGCTGAGCTGCGGTAGCCCCTGCCCCAGGGCTTCACCCCACGGGGCTCCCCAACCCCTCTGCTGGGGCCTGGCAGGGGGAACCCTCCCTCCATCCCAGTGAATTGGGGACCCCCGGCCCCTCTCCTCCCTGCTCCCGCTGCTGCCGGGCCCCTGGGCCTGCCCCATCCCGCCTTCCGCGGGGCACCTGAAGCCCCCAGCCGGGAGACCCCTCCCCTCGCACCCCCAGGTCTCCCCGACGGGGCGGAGCCGCCGCCCGCTATAAACGGCCGGTACCGGGAACCGCCGCCCTCCCGGTGCCAGCATGAGCGGCGGCGGCCGCGCCCCCCCCGCGCGGCGCTCCTTCGGGGCGCCGTCGCCCCTCAGCGGGGCTCCGGGGCTGCTGGCGGCGGCGGCGGCGGCTCGGGGAGCGGAGCGGGAGGAGTTGGCGGCCCTGAACGATCGTTTCGCCGCTTTCCTGGAGCGGGTGCGGGCTCTGGAGCGGCAGAACGGGGCCCTTCGGGCAGCGCTGGGCCGCGCCGCCGCCGCCGCCGCGCCCCGCACGGCCGGGCTGGTGCAGGGGGAGCTGCGGGGCCTGCGTGAGCGGCTGCAGCTCCTCGGCCGGGACCGGGACCGCCTCCAGACAGAGCGAGACGGGCTGGCAGCTGACCTGGCGGCCCTGCGGCAGCGGTGGGTGGGCGGCGGGGCTGGGGATGTGCTGGGATAAGGGATGCGCCGGGATGAGGGATGCGCCGGGATGAGGGATACACAGGGATGAGGGATGCGCCGGGATGAGGGATACACCGGAATGAGGGATGCGCTGGGATGAGGGATACACCGGGATGAGGGATGCGCCGGGATGAGGGATGCGCCGGGATGAGGGATACACAGGGATGAGGGATGCGCCGGGATGAGGGATACACCGGAATGAGGGATGCGCTGGGATGAGGGATGCGCCGGGATGAGGGATGCAATGGGATGTGCTGGAGAAGACACGGGGAGATGCCCCCAGGTACCCAGGGGCATGCAGCAGGATGGGGAAGCACCAGGGGTGTTGGGGGGGGGACGCACTGGAGGCTGCAGGGAGGGGAGTGCTGCATGTATTGGGATGTGCTGGGGAGGACCAGGAGAGGCTGGAGAAAGCCCCGGGGAGACCAGGAGAGAGTGTAAAGAATGGGGAGCTTGGGTGCTGCAAAGGGTGGGGCACGGGGGGGGCACTGAGAGTGGACAAGGAGAAGCACTGAGGTGGGAGATGGGCCCAAGTCAGGGGCTGAACCCCCCGGGGAGGAGAGTGGCCCAGTGAGGGGTCTTGGGGGCCTACAGTGGGGTCTTGGCCCCGAGACAGGGCAGGAATGTGAGGTTCCTGTTCTGGCTCCGGCTTAGGGACTCCTCCATCCCCGCGTGCCTGCAGAGTGGGGGCTGCAGGAGGGTCCTCACCTTGTTCCGCTCCTGCTGTCCCCAGGCTGGAGGATGAGACCCAGAAGCGGGAGGATGCGGAGAAGAGCCTGGTGCTGTTCCGCAAGGTGAGGGGTCTCATGCAGTGCCCATTCCCCTGTGCTCCTCATGCCCTGCGCCCCCAGCCTGCTCATGCATGTGAAGGCCCCAGCCATGCATCATGTAGACTAAGGGGGGGACCTGGGCTGGTCTGCGAGTGCCCATTCACTTCCTGCTGCCCCACAACTCATCCCATCTGTACCCACAGGACGTGGATGATGCCACCTTGTCCCGACTGGAGCTGGAGCGGAAGGTGGAGCTGCTGCTGGATGAGATCGGCTTCCTCAGGAAGCTGCATGAGGAGGTGCGATGGGGACATGGGTCGGGATGGGGGACACGGGCAGGGTCCATGTGCTGTGTCGTGAAGTATCATGACCGCCCGTGTGCCCCGCAGGAGCTGCGGGACCTGGAGGTGAGCACCCTGAGCCCGGTGCCTCCGGTGGAGCTCTGCAAACCGGAGCTGACAGCTGCGCTGCGGGAGATCCGCACCCAGTACGAGAGCATCGCCGTGAGGAACCTGCAGGAGGCCGAGGAGTGGTACAAGTCCAAGGTACCCCGGGCCGGGGGGGGGGCTCTGATTGGGGTCTGGGGCACCCCAAAAGCTCTGACCCCCCCCGTGGGTGCTGCAGTTTGCAGACCTCTCGGACGCAGCCAACCGCAACCAGGAGGCGCTGCGCTTGGCCAAGCAGGAGATGAACGAGTCACGGCGGCAGATCCAGAGCCTCACCAGCGAGGTGGATGGGCTGAAGAGCATGGTGAGACCCGGGCGGGGGGGACACTTATGGGGGGGATCGCAGCCCCAGGCCCTGCAGTGCATCCTCATCCCGTGCAGAACGAGGCGCTGCAGCGGCAGATGCGGGAGATGGAGGCTGAGTTTGGGGAGGAGATCGGGAGTTACCGGGATGTGGTGGAGCATTTGGAGCAGGAGCTGCGGCAGCTCAAGGAGGAGATGGCGCGGCACCTCCGCGAGTACCAGGACCTGCTCAACATCAAGATGGCTCTGGACATCGAGATCGCCACGTACCGCAAGCTGCTGGAGGGCGAGGAGAGCAGGTGAGGGCCTCCCTCCGCTGACTTTCCCATGGGATCTCCTGGGAAGGAGGTGGCTCCACAGGGGACAAGCAGCTCCCATCCCATGGGAGCTTGGAGATGACAGCAAGGCCAAGGGACGGGGTGAGGATGAGGGAGCTGCTGCCCCCTCTACCAGCCCGTGATGGGGTCACTCAGTGGTGACCAGTGACACCCCACAACCCCCTTACCCCTTTCTGCCCCCCAGGATCACTGTCTCCCCACACCCTCCAACCTCCTTCAGCGGGAGAAGCTCAGGTGAGAGGGGTCGGGTGGTCCCCAGTTGTGTCCTTGGGGGTCCTTTTCCCCCATGAGGGTGCAGGTGGGTCCCTGGGCCCTGCCTCGGCGGGGGACTCATGACTTCTGTGTCCCCCAGTGCTGGAGCCTATGCAGAGCCTGACTCAGAGGATGGTGCTTATCAAAACCATTGAGACACAGGACGGGCAGGTGCGGGGCCACTGTCCCTGCATGAGGGGGCTCCCCCTCTCTGGGGCTGTCCCTACCTGGGGTGTCGATCCCATCTGTGTCCTGACTCCCCCTTGTCCCCCCACAGCAGGTGGTGACGGAGTCGCACAGACAGAGAGCGGAGCCGGGACAGTGATGGAGGGTCCGGGCGGGGCTTCACCGGCTGCCCCCCCCATCCCAGCGTCGCGATGCATCCGGTGCCTTGTGCCCGCCTCTTATTCATTGCTGTTTATGCCCCGCCCCTCCCGCCCCTCCTCTGTATTTAACGTTCACCGAGTGCGCCCCGCCTCCGGGGGTCGCGGGGTCCGGGAGACGCTGGGGCTGCCCCCCCCCAATAAAGGCTGTGGCGCGGAGGGACCGAGTTACGCGCGGAGGTGCGGGGGGGCTCCGGGGGCTCGCCCCTTTACCGGAGCGCGTTACTGGTGCGGGACCACCAGGCGGCGCTGTCCCACAAGCCCCCATCCCGGCGCTCTCCTCGGCTCTCTGTAATCAGCGTCTTCCATTCCCGGGACCTGATAGGCTGACATCAGCCTATCGCTGAGAGGACTGGGCGCTCGACCAATCCCAGACGGGTGCTTGCGCGCGGTGCCGCCGCTGATTGGTCATTTCTGGGCCGCGGGGCGATTCAGTGGCGTTGGCGGTGTTTATAAAGAGGGGCCGCGCCCAAGGTGCAACGGGACCGGAGTGAAAACCGGGCCCAGGGATAGGGGGGGTCCCGAAGAGGAGGGTTCCCCCCACACCTCGGCAGCAGCCCCCGACCCACCGCGGCTCGATGCGGTCGCGCAGGAGATAACCCAGCTCCCCCCAGCGCCGTGTGGAGTGTCCGGTGTTGTGAGCCCCCCTCCACGGCATCCCTTCCCGAGGTTCCCACACACCCCCGGTCCTACCCATGTCCTGCGGGCGCCGGCCGGGCGGTGGCAGCACCGGCCCAATGCCATGCGGGGACAGGGATGGGGATACGGGCTGCGGGGTCCGGGGGGTCCGCAGCGTGACCCCGCCTCGGGGGGCTGTCGCTGTCCCTGTGTTCCGGGGGGAGGTGTGATAGGGAAGGTGACATCGAGGGGTTTCCCCCATCGGTGCGGAGCTCGTCACAGCGGCTCAGTCCGTCCCCCCCACCGGGGCCGTGTCCCCAAATGTTCCCTTCTAGGCCAACCCTCCCCGTGGAGATGGCGGCAGCCGCTGCACATCCAAACCCCGAGTGCTTTATTGGGGGGTGTCATGACGCCCCATGATCAGCTGCGGGGATGGGGACAGCACCGGGACACCCCGATGCCACCGTTGGGTGTTGCATGCGGGGAGGGGGACACGGAGCACTGATGGGGGTGGGTTTGGAGGGGAGGAGAGCCGGGAGGGTCAGTCGGGGTAGATGATGAACCCGGAGAAGGTGCTGTACTTGTTGGTGTTGCCGCCGTGCACTTTGCCCCCGTCCAGCTTGATGAAGACCTCGTCCCCCACGTCCAAGTGCAGGATGACGCTGTTGCTGGCGTAGTCGTAGTTCTGGTCTGCATCCTGCGCGATAGCGCTGGCCCGGACCTGGGGGATGTGGGACACGGTCATCAGAGCCCCCCCGTCTGCGTCACACTGTGCCCAGGACCCCCCCCGCCCCGATCAGCCGTGGCTCAAAGTCGCACTGTTCCCCGGTGCTGCAGAGCCCGGGGATGGAGCCGGTGTCCCCCCCTGCTCCCAACCTGCTTTGGGAGGGGACAGTGAGAGAGCCCCTCCCCCCCCGACCGCTCGCATGGGTCTCGCTGTCGGTGTTCAACCGGGGAGCCCAGGGACCAGTGGTGCCCCACGGGGGTGATGGAGCCGCCATTGATCCCGCTGGATCTATCCTTGTTTCTCCCATAATAAAAGGGAAGTGTCCAGGGCGGGAGCTGTGCTGCCACAGACAAAGGGACCGGCCGGGGGGAGCACAGACCCGCCCCCCCCACCCTAGCCCAGTGCTCCTGGGGCAGGAGCCCCGGGAATGGGGGTTTCATGTCCCCAGGAATGGGCAGGTGCTCCCCCCCTCAGCCCATGGTCCCAGAGGGGGAATGGGGTGGGTGGGAGATGGGAATGGGGCTACTGGGGGAGCTGGGATAGGGGAAAATGGGATGCAGGAAGAGGTACGAGAAGAAGAAGATGGGAATTAGGCTGGGGGAATCGGATGGTGGAAATGGAATGTGCGTGGTTGGGGGAATTGGAGAGGGGGAATCGGAGAGGGGGAATCATGATGGGTGGAGCTTGGATGGGGGGGTCAGGAATGAGGGGAACGAGGATGGAGCGATGGAGATTTAACAGAAAACAATGGGAAAAGCAGGGTGGGAGTAAACAAGATGGGAAAAGCACGACAGGTGAAGCACAGTGGGGGAACTGGGATGGAGGAAATTGGGATGGAGAAAACCAGGATGGGGAGATGTGGGACTGGAGGAGCTGGATGGAGATAACCAAAGCCAGGGTAGAACAGGGCAAGGGACCAGCTGGGAGGAAGCAGGATGGGGGATACCAGGAGGAGCCGCAGTCGTGGTGGTGGCACCAGTGCTGGTCCCAGCCTGTACCTGTCCATTCTTCATGAGGTCGGCCCACATGCTGGTGCCATCGCCGCCGCGCATGAGGACATGGTAGGTGAAGAAGTAGATGCCGGGAAGGGGACAGGTGAACTTCCCACTCGAGGGCTCGTAGTAGTTGCCCACATTGGTGACCACATCGTCGAAGCGCAGCACCTCGTAGCCCTCGTGGGGCTTCCGCAGCCCAGCATAGAAGGCGATCTTGGGGCTGTAGAAGGAGGGGATGTACCCCCCAGGACCTGGCCCCGGTGGCCCTGGTGGCCCTGGCCGACCTGGTTCACCCGGTGGCCCCCGTGGTCCCGGTGGCCCTGGGGGTCCTCGTACCCCAGCACGGCCCTTGCGGCCCGGCTCACCCTTGGCACCGGGCAGGAAGGGCGGTGGGGAGGCCGCAGGCAGCTCGGGATAAGGGTCACAAACCATACGGCAGCTGCCCAGCATCTCATAGTGTGTGGCTGCCTTGGAGCTGTGCACAAGCAGCGGGATGGCCACCAGTAGCACCAGCACCATGGCCACGCCAACGGCTGCCCCGGCCACCCGCTTCCGCCGGCTCAGCCGTGACGCCGCCAGTGCCAGCAGGTCCTCGTCGCCCTTGGGTGCAATGGTGATGCTGGGGGGATGGACGGCACCCAGCCGCCCACCGAGATCCTCAAGTCCCCGTGGGGACAGGGATGGGGATGAAGATGTGAATGGGGATAGGGATGAGGGTAGGGCTAGGGATGGTCACAGCAGCGGGGATGGGGTTGGGAAGAGCAGCCAGGCTGGGGACAGCAGCGGGGTGGGAGACAGGGATGGGAACAGGGACAGGGATGGTGACAGCAGCGCGGCTGGCGCCGGGGACAAGGATGGGACCAGGAGCGGGAGTGGAGCTGCGGATGGAACTGGGACTTGCGCTGGTGAAGGGGAAGAAAGCGGAGCCGGTGATGGAACCGGGAGTGGAGGTGGGGAAGGGGCTGAGATCAGAGCCGGGGACGGAGTAGAGATCGGAGCTCCTGCAGCAGCCAGGACCGGAGCCGGTGGAGAAGCTGGTGATGTAACCGGAGCCGGGACCGAGCCGGGATGTATCCGGGAAGGAGCCGGGACCGCGCCGGGAAGGAGCTGACAGCGGAATGGAGCCGGGAAAGAACCGAGACCGGAGCCGGGATGGAGCCGCCGCAACGCGTGGGGCAACTTCTCGCCAAGTTGCCCGGGAGCAAGAGCCCCTCCCGCGGGAGCGGGACTCCCTTCCCCGCGGCAGCCCCGGAGCGGCCCCGCTCTCCCGGTGCGCACCGGCGGGGACGGGCGAAGGGACGGGGACGGACAGCGCCGCCAGGGGCGGTTCTCCCGGAGCCCCCCCCGCGCCCCACTCATGGTCCCCGGGGACGCGCGACCCCTGGCCCGCAGCGGAGTACCCCCAGCTCCCGCACCCCCCCCCCCAAGCCAGTGCCCTCCGGTACCTGCCGCCCGCGGCGCCGGGAGCCACGTGCCGGGGCCGCCGCCCGCAGCGCACCGCGCCCGCAGCCCCGCTCCGCCCGCCCCGCTCGACGGCACCGGGCACGGCGAGGGCGGGGGAGGGGGGTGGGGGAGGGAGGGGAGCGCGGCGGGGGCAGGGATTGTGCAAAGGGGGATGCAGGGGGGGTGAGGGGCTGGGGGTGCACAGAGCACCCCCCCCATGCACCACCGTGGACCCGTTTTAGGGACCCTCCTGGCGGGGGGGGCTCTGTCGGGGTGTCCGGTCCCTCTCCAGGATGGGGACAGAGCCCCGGGGATGCTCCAGTGCCTCTGGTACCACCGGGGGGCTGGAGCTGGGGATGCAGGAGGAATGTGTGTGCCTGTGCATGCTTAGTGCAGGTGTGTGCACGCTTAGTGCAGGTGTGTGCACGCTTAGTGCAGGTGTGTGCATGGCTATGTGCCTACTGTGTGCATGCTCCGTGCATGGGTGTTTATGCCTGTGCATGCTCTATGCATGTGCATTCTCAGTGTAACTGTGCACATGCATACACACGCTTAGCGCATGTGTGTGAATGCTCTGTGTGTGTGTGTGCATGCTCAGTGCATGTGTGTTTATGCCTGTGCATGCTCTATGCATGTCCATGCTCAGTGCATGTGTGTTCATGCCTATGCATGTGCATGCTCTGTGCATGTGTGTGCGTGCCCGTGCATGCTCCATGTGTGGGATTCATCCCATTGCTTCTCCAGGTCGGGCCGGCGGCTCCAGCGGCGGCCGATCGATCCCGGGCTATTGCCGGGATTTATGGCCCCGTTCTGCGGGGGATCGATACGATCCCGACCATGTTTGTGCAATAAATCAAGCGGCTGAAGCTGCTCCCCCGCTCGCCCCGGCGGGAGCCCCCGGTGCCCCCGGGAGCCCCCCGAGTCCCATCGCCACCGCCTGACGTTAACGAGCAGCATCAGCGCGTTAATTAGCCGCGAGGGGAAGCCCTGCCGCTAATTACCGGGGACCGGGGGGTGGAGGGAGCGGGCCCCGTCGTGGGGTCCCTGCGGCCGCACCGAGCCTCGGTTCCCTCCTCCGGCTGCTCCCGATGTCCCCACGCAGAGCACGGGCGCTGCTGCGGTCATCCCGATGGGGACGGACACGTCCCGCACCGCAGAGCCCGGAGCGAGCCGGCAGAGCGGGGCATGAATAAATGCATCACCCGGCTCGGGGACGGCGGCGCCGGTACAGCCACGGTC